CCAAAAGATTATATTCTCCTCTAGTATCAGTCAGATGGATGTTTCCTGGGTACTAACAGGGAGGAAGGGTTTGCTGGAGAGTGAACCCCTGACACTCAGTGTTCCTAGCTGTAAGTCAGAGAAGGAACCCAACTTCTTAAAGGGAAGCAGTCAGCAGCCATCCACGCTCAGCTTGTCCTTGCTTGTCCACTCTGTCCTCTCCTCTCCTGCTCTGTGGCGTCCTCTAGAATTGGGATGTCAACCCCTAATGAAAGCTGGAAACACTTTCTCATTAGAATGACTGCTGATGTCCATATGGTCCCGCCTATGTCCTGAACCTTCATCTAAGCATCTTTCAAGCATGACCTCTTAACTCTCCCAAGTTTTCATCCTCAATATGTAAGGGAAGGAGCTGAAACCTTAGGAGGCTGTGTGACCCACTTGGGTCCTGGAGTTCATCAGGAGCACAGGGGGAACACAGCAGCTTCTGCACGGAGAGCCCCCAGTGCCAGACTCACACACACTCCTGGGCATTTAAGTACTGTTGGGTACTGCTTGATACCTAACCCCCAGAATCATACATTCTGTGTAACTCCCAAAACTATTTAGAACACCTCGATTTTTCCTTAGCCTCCCACCAACTCATCAGATTTGGACATCCCTCCAAGCAGCTACCTTGGCTACTGTGTTCTCTGTCTAGACACCTTGAAATTTCGATCTTCTAGACACAGGGAAGGAGGCGTCCATCCATCTCCCTACTTCACTAACCTTAAAGACAGTTCCAATTAAACCCCATTTGGCATTCAGTCTTACATATATTTGCTTTGGCCTGTTGATAAGAGAAGATGGGAAGTCTTTTAAGCACTGGATGCTGATTAGATCTGCTCTCCCAACCACAGGAGGCTACCGCAGGGAATGAAAGAAAAGACCAAAAGATTGGCAGAACGCTTGTCTTTTCTGGAGGTTTGGATGAGGAAGAGAGAAAGAGCGCAGATTATACTGTGTCTATGACTCCTCTTTGTAAAAACTTCAGAAATGACAGCAGTAAGAGGCAACTACCCGAGTAGGTTTTAACTGAGATGCAAATTCTTTAGGTTTGGCGGAATCCTGGCAGGCGGTCAGTGGAGCACTTTATAGATAAGACTATGATGGCTCCTAGAAGTGAGTAACCCCTCTCCCGCTGCTTAGCAGCAAAAACCTGAACGTCTTATCCATCAGCCCCTCCCAAAGACAGCAGGTTTACCCCACTTTAATTTCTAAGGGGCTGAACTTACACCATGAAAGAGATTTGTACATTCAGATAACTGGCAGTGCACAATACAGCAGGAGCAGAGACGGCCCGTTCCATTCTGTTCCATCAGCTCGATGCCGATTTAAACTTCTTTCTGTGTCTACAACAAGGTCTACATGTTCCTCCCACTTTACTTGGGAGCCCACCACTGACCTGAGCCCCGGGGCTTTCCTCAGGCTGTTTCTTCCAAAGGGAAAGAGGCAGCCAGCTGGAGAGTGAGCTTCTGCCCTCTGACGTCTGGCAGCCTTGTTTCTCTGCCTTCTGGCTCAAGGAAAGCCAAGGGGTGTTGGCAGAGGGCGAGGTGCCTGCTTAGCATTACCAAGCAGTCTGGGCTCCAATGCCTGGGGAGCTTCTCTCCACGAACTGTCACTGGGCACTTGGCCACCTCTCCTCAGAGTGGCCCTGTGTGCCTAACCGTGGGTAACAGCCTCCCAGCTTGGTTTTCATGAGCTGGGACACGGAGCAGCTGGGACACTCAGGGCCCAGAACAGTGGATCTCCTTTCAAGGTGTAAAGGCAGTGGGGCCTTTTTCCAATCCAGTCTGACAACCTGTGGCCTTATACCCATGAGTGTGGAGGTGCTCTGGCTTGGGGAGTAGGGAGAGGAGACCAGCAGATCCCCGACCTGATTCCCATCTCTGTCTGTGGCAGCCCCAGAGGCATAGCTGCAAATCCAGGGCTCAAGAAATAGAATTTGAAAACATGGTCTACACCTCTGTTTCTCCTGTCTTCAGGTGAGCTTTGGAGGCCAAGCAAGTCCTCCTGCTCTGAATTGCAGTGAGGAGCTTTTCTTTGAGCTGCTCCTACCTGAGCAACTCAGAGGAAGGCGCTTCAGTGATTTCTCTCTTTCTAAGTCTACTAGGGTGTGTGTGTGTGTGTGTGTGTGTGTGTGTGTGTGTATGCACTTGTGCCAACTGTGCCCTGGACTGAGGGTTTACCTGCCTCAGGCGCGGCACCAGGTACCCCACATGCATGATCTTATACAGTGCTGAGTGCCGAGGCAGGAGGGCTGGTAACTCCCCTAAGGTCACGTGGTTTAGACTTCATTAGATCCAAATCCTTTTTATCCTCTGCGTGTCCACAGTGGGCTCACTTAGCCACTTCGCAGGGACTTGATCCCCAGGCAGTAGGTTTCTCTTGCAGAGATTTCCAACCTGAAGGTACACACAGGTGTTAGGCTATGGTCAGCCTCAGAAAAGGACTCAGGAGCCATTTGGCCTGCCAGGACCTTGCCCATCCTATGCACTTTTGTATTTAGGCTAATTATAGTAAATAATAATTTAGGTAGCATTAATCAGCCCTGCACCTAAAGGCCAGATTTTAACTAATCCCATAACTGCAGATCCGGTCACCCAAAAATTGTGCACTTTTCTTCCCAGTGTTTAATAATGTGACTTTTGCTGTTCTTAAACATAGTTAATTCTTAGGTTTGAGTTAATAAATCACCATTTCCTACTGAGAAGTTAGGTGGGGGTGAAAGGGGAAACTGAATTTTTCACTTGAGCTCGAAATCCTTTAATCTTCTTGGGCCTGAGTGTCTCCTGGTCTGTTTTTCAAATCTCCAGTCTGACTTCCTTGCAGTATTATTTTACCTTCTTATTAAATTTTTAGCTGATGGGAGAGAGAGTACCTCATTAAATTTTCCTGTATCTTCAAGTGGGATTGGTGACTGTTACTGAGAGAACCAGATTAAGATTCATAATGATTTAACCTTGTCACACTAGATGGATATAGACTGGAGATATTTTAGTGCTGATAAGCACAGGGTAATTGACTTACAGAGCTGGAAAACCTGAACCATTGCAGAAAGGGGAGCCTGCAATAATATGCAGGCTGTGTTCCATGAACACGTCACCCTACTGATTTAGTACCTGAGAGGCACAAGTGAGGTAATGGAGTCTTGGTGAGGACCAAGCTTTTGCTCTTAAATTTAGAAACCTGTAGCTGAAGCGTATCAAACTGCAGCAGAGAGAGCCACAGCCATGATTCGGAGCCAGAAGGTCGCTTCAATGAATGAACAACTTAAAGACACTGGACTTTTTTCCGGGATGAAATATAATTTAATTATAGCATCTAAATATGTGACAGATGACATTTATTTGCTTGTGCATTCAAGCTCATATTTATTTGTTACTGGGGAGGTGTAAAAATGGTACATTCCTACAAGTGATGGATGTTCTAACTGCAAGCTCAAATGTACTGTGGAGAGAAAAGAACAAAGCCATGTCAGAGTCAAAGTGCACTTATACACTAAGGGAACTTCACGGTTAGGGTTAGAAGTGTCTAGTGGCATGGTGATGGAGGGGATATATGTTTCCTGCCCAGAAATCCTAAATCAAAGAGTAGGATGGAATGTTCAGGGAAGCGTTTGAATATAGCACAGCTATTTGGTTCAAAGCCTTCTGTGGTTCTTATTCAGATGTTTTCGTTACCATAGAAGAAACTGAACCAAATCATTGACTCTGGGAATCCCAGTCGGATTATTCTCACATCTGCCACAAGGTCACTGAACTGTCCAAAAATTTTTGTTGTTTCATATGGAAATACAACTCCTATTCCCCTCCGAAGGGGAAATAAAAGAAGAATTCTTCCTGGACTTTTCTTGGGATTGTTTTGAATATTTTAATTCATGGCAAATTGATACCTTTAAAATACCAACTGTCCAATCCAGGAGCACAGTGCATTTATTTAGTCTTTAATTTTTCTCTGCAGAGTGTTGTAATTTTCACAGAAGGGATCTTGCCAACTTTAATTAGATTGATTTCTGTAGGCTTTCAGGGTAGTTTGCCATTGTTGTCAACAGCAGGGCCCGAACCCCTTGAATGCACAATAACACCTGCTTATTTATATCAGTTCTGCTCTCCATGGGCATGAGAAGAAAAGCAATAATCAGCTTGCCCTTTTCCTGGGAGGCACTGTGCCTTCCCTAACCAATGAGCAAGGCTAAAGAAGTCTAAGAGCTTCGTTACAGGAAACCTATGCAAGGATCTAAACAAGGCGGCTCAGAAATTATTCTTTTTGGTCTCACACTCCTGCCTTTGGCATTTCAGATTATTTTCCTTTTGTTTGGTTCACAGTTTCCTTTCTTCTACAAAGGCTTCATATCTAGCAGCCTGCTGTGGGAGTCATCATAGATAATCTATGCAGGAAAGCACAGGAAAACTACGTGTAACTTCTATTCGGAGATGGTGTGTTCATGATACAGCATTAAGTTAACAAAATATGATGAAATGCAAATTGTACTTTTAATATACATATTCATAGAAAAAAGGCAGAAGAAAATGCCAACGAGTGGTTACTTCTGGGTCACTAGTTTATGGGCTATTTTTCTACCTGCCTACATTTTCAAAACTTTTATGATAAACAGACATTATGTTTGCACAAAGCAAAAACTCAAGAATTTAATTAAAATCAACACTTGTAAATGGATGAATGAAAAACAGAATGATGAGCTTGAACTTTCGTTTTTCATTGTGTAAAATGTATTTGAAATTTGCTAGTGAGATTAAGACAGGCATGTGACATATTTTAAAATAATCAGGAAAGACAGACTTCTTTTTCAGGGCTGTCAGTCCTCTGAGCAGCCATAATTCCAGGCAGTGCCTGAACTCTCTCCTCCCCTGGAAGCTGAGCACCCCCACTGCCCCGATCCCTGGTGTGGGACCCTGCTAAAGTGGCCCAGGTGGACATCCTCTGTCAGCTGCTCTTTTTAACCCACTGTTTACCGGCAGGTTCTCAGGAGTCAGACAGCTCTCAATCGGCCAAGAAGGACATGCTGGCTGCCTTGAAGTCCCGGCAGGAAGCACTGGAGGAGACTCTGCGCCAGAGGCTAGAGGAGCTGAAGCGGCTCTGTCTGCGAGAGGCGGTGAGCAGCTGCGTCTGTGTGGTTTGCAATGTCCCCTCCTAAGAGATGTCCTGGGGAGGTGGGGGCTCCCACAAATGCTGTACACATGCCCCCTTCTATGACAAGCATAGCGGTAGCTGAGCCAGTGACGGTTGAGGGACCCTGTAACCCACCAAAGCTGGTGCTCATAGAACCTTAACGGGACCTTCCAGAGGCCAGACGTCAAGCCAGAACAAGCCATGGCGCATGCACACACACCCCCAGAGTTCACAGAGCACACTCCTGTGTGCTCTTGCCTTTCACAGGAAATGACCTGCACTCCCCAACACTCTGGGCCTGGATTTATTGTCGGCCGTTTTTTCTTTTCCTGGGGATATTGTTTATCTGTGGATGGAGCATCCCTGCTGGTCAGTTACCCAGGATACCACATGAAATGTGTGAGTCCCCTTCAACCTCAGGATCTACCATCTCTGACTTTCATTTTTTAAAAGAGAAATCATCACCTAGTGATATGTTTAAATTCTGTGGAAAGCTGTCTCCCCGAGCCGTGACTGCCCCAGGTTCTGTTTTCATGAGCATCTAGAGGACCCGGAAGTCTACTTCTGCATTTATGGAATCTCCATTCTTTCTTCTGCTTGTTCAGTGACCCTCTATGAAGAGTCTCGGGACGGCATTTTTAAGTGTAGCACATACTGCGGTGTGTGTGTGCACATGGACACAGTGTGGGAGGTGCGCTCCTGGGAGTGGTCGGGTGCCCCATAACAGGACAAAGAGCTCTTCTGGGAGCCAGAGCTGAATGAGGAGGAGGTGGAGTTTCCAGCCAGCCCTGAGACGTGTCCCCTCCCCCAGATAATAATGCTTTGCAGAGAAGGAATGAGACGCAGGTCCACAGAATGAGATCACGTGACATTTCAACTTGGCTTAATTATGGTCTGGATTGATTTAAGCCGGAGCCCACTCAAAGCAGAACCACATTAGTACAAATCCATGCAAATCTCAGGAAAGCAGCTGGCTTGGCTGGGGGAATGTGCTATGTGATACTGTTAGTATTAGCGACATTTTTACAAAGAATATGCTTGAAGGAGTGAAAAAATACAGGATTTTGTGTCTGCCTTTAATAACTTATAAAACCTTGTTTTCTTAAAATCAAAAGAAAAGTCCCTAAACCCAACAACGAGTCCACATTAGACGCAAGAACACATCGGAGCAAGGCTGGCCTACACAGTAGGGTCTCCCTGTGTCTCCCAGAAACAACAGCAAAATCAGGAAAACAAGGCCCTCAGTTCTCAGTGGTGACAGCAGAATCATAACCTGAGTGGAAAAAGCCCAGCAAGACTCTGCTGCCCCGCTCCTGACCCGGGTGGCGGTGCAGAGCTGGGCGCCTGGCCATCCATGCTGTCCTCAGGCAGCTCCCTCTCAGCTCAGGGCCAGGAAGCTCTGTTCGACCTGTGGGAAGCACAGCACCCAGTCTGGGGTACAGTGGGAGCTTCCAGCAGAGTATAGAGAGGCCCCGTGGCAGGGCATGAAATTAGCCTGTGCCACACAGCTCTGGTTACATGAATCAGATTAAATGTCGGCAGAACCAAGATCTTGACTTGGATACTTTAAGGCTGCTAGTGAAAAATTGGTCACCTCAATTAAAAAATATTTTTTAAAACCACAAACACTTTTGGGGCTGGGGATTTAGCTCAGCGGCATAAGTGCCTGCCTTGCAAGCAGGCAGTCATGAGTTCGATCCCTGGTACCGATAAAAACGAAAAAGACAAAAAAAAAAAAAAAAAAAACTACAAACACTTTAGCATTATAAATCCATGACATGATTAACAACTTCACCCACCTTTTTCAAGATGCAAAACGAACAAAAACATCCTGAGCATACAGAACCTTCAATAGTTGTACATTAAAAGACAGACTCTGGGAGAACCAGTCAAAAAGCTGTAGAATTAACGCATAGCTACTTGGCAGACTCTGAACCACGTTTCCAAAAGGAAGAAAGTCATAGGGAAAAATGCTGCAATGTCAGACTCAGACGGAGCCACTGTGCTCTGAGCCGCTTACAGGGAGGACCAAAGTGCAGGGTCACTCCCAGTGCTGTGAAGATGGAAAGAGAGGTGCAGGAGACAGGAACATGCTGCGTGTGCTTCCGGGTCATTCAGGACACAGGAGTGGAAAACAGTGTCCCTCCACTGATGCAAGTCCCACCACCACTGGACGCCTGGCACAGAAAGGTTCTGTGTGGATGACAAATGTTCCCAGCAGGACACTCCTGAGTTCTCACGTACCCCAGCAGCCTTTGAGTGTCTGTGCAGCTTCTGCACTGCTTTGGGACTAGGAAGCTTCACACACGTGATGGCTGGCTGCACAGTGGGGTTAGCACCACCTCACACCGAGCTGTGCACAGCTCACAGTGACCCAGAGCCCGAAGTACAGCAGATCTTCCAGAAGCCTTGTTAATCAAATAGATGACATTTTCAGTTTCTTAAACTCTTAAATTATATGCAAGTTAGTGTCTTCTGTTCAGCATGTCCCTTCATCGCTGGCCAGAGGAGATAATTACTATCCATGTTCCAACTGCAACTGTGTGATAATGCACTTTTCTGGGAAGGGCCGTATAGGTATCGCGCTCCTCCTATGAATGCTCACTTGAAAGAAATCCTGAACTTAGATGGTAGAGAATGTCGGACGCGGTGGGAAGAGTTCAGAAAGACTCAGAGTTATGTCGACTGCTGTTTCCTGACCTTGCTGTGTGGCCTTGCTGGGGACACAGCAGGTACTCAGGACACTCGTTAGATCAGCGCAAGAATGAGGGCAGAATATTAAGAAGCCCAGCAGACTTTTATTTACTTGACAGAAACTGGTTTAGGAAAAACTTCAGAATGCCACTGGTCTGAAGGGAAAAGAGCACTGGCACACGTTTTAGAGACGAAATTTCATTTTGTGCAGTTGTGTTGTAGCTCCATGCTGATGCTTCTCATCTGTTGGTTGATCTGGGCACTAAAGTACGTGTGTGTGTGTGTGTGTGTGTGTGTGTGTGTGTGTGTGTGTGTGTCCCCATCCTAGAACAATGGCCAGCACGTGCTCTGCTCTGTTTCATGGCAAAGTGCTCCCTTCATTGCAGGAGCTCACCGGCAAGCTCCCTGTGGAATACCCACTGGACCCAGGGGAGGAGCCGCCCATCGTGCGGAGAAGAATAGGCACTGCCTTCAAGCTGGATGAACAGAAGCTCCTGCCCAAAGGAGAGGTGAGCTCTCCCTCCAGTGTTGGGGTCTCTGTTGTCCTTGATTACTCTGGCTCCTAGCTGCTCAGGCTCCGTATCTGTCTTCCTGCCTTTTCTTGATGAGCTGGCTGATGCTGTGTGGCCTCCCTGGGAGGATGAGCTTGCTGGTCCTACTAAGCATTTGATCTTCTGTCGGAGTTGCTTGCCTGACACTGCCGGGCTTCAACCATGTGCCCTTGCCTTCAGAGTGGTGTCCTGGCCCTCTACTCAGAGCTGTGCCTGATGTCTGATCGGTGCAAGAAAACACGAAGCTGGAAGGGAACTTAACTCTGTTCTTGAGTGGAAGGGGTCCTTCGCTAGGAAGAGGTCACTGCTGGCCACTGTGACCCTAATACCCTGGGTTGGTAAAATCTCACAGCATAAGCAGGACATTTGGTCTGTCTTGGCCTCATCTGTCTAAGTGTGACACAGCCATGTGTCACTGGGTTTTATCCTCATTGGACGGGACTCTGTCAGGGGCTGAGGCTGGAGAATTCAGATTTGGGGAGGAAGAAAGCACTGTGTCTCTGGCTGGGCCATGAGTATCCAGCATCACTCCAAGAGGACCCAAGTGTACCTCAGGAAGCTTTGTCCTAGTTTACTCAGTTTATCATGAATAGCACTGCTCATGACCAGGTAACAGACAGCGGTGTAAGAGGTCAGGACTCGGAGGCAGCGGGAGAGGGGATGCTGCATTTCTAGTCTTCGGAAAGTGACATGGAAGAAACATGTTTTCACGTCACACAATGCACGGTCATCATGAGGGTGAAGGTGAGGGAGCCGAGTGCCCTGGGGTCCTCACAGGTGTTAGGAATCACCTGTGAGCCATAATTGCAGAGTCCAGTGGACCCAGGGACCACACTCCCTGGCTGCTCCTCTCTGTGAACTTCAGAATGCTGACTCTGTGGGTTGCCCCAGGAATAAATGACTGGTAGATGAGACTCCATACCAAGCTCCCACTCGAGGCTCGGGACACACGAGCTGCTGTGAGTAGAGAGGAAGCGCTGAGGAGGGGAGGCCTGGAGGAGACCAGCAGGCAGCTGCTTTTCACATCCAGGTGGTCACTGGAACTCCAGAGAGACACGGGGCAGACCCTGGCACTTAAACCCTAAAAGCACCTCTACTTTTAGTCAGTGCCCCATGCTCTCTCAGGCTTCTCCTGCCCCACTCCAAAGAGTCCCCTGGGTAACAGAAGATGCCCTCTTGGGTGCGTCATCACTCTGGGGTCCCCTGGAATCCCGATCCCCTCTCCTGGTCACATAGCCATTGGCAAGTTAAATTGTGGAGATTCGCTCTGAGCTCCCGCAGCATTCAAGGTCTCCGTGGGCCGAGGCCATCGTAACTGCCCAGGAACAGCTGCTCAGCAGAGCCCAATTCACAGAAGGTCTTTGTCCCTCAGAGCTCTGGGCAGGAGTCCAGCTCTATATCTCCTTCCTCCCACAGGACATATGTGGACAGCGTGGGTGGGAAGGGAGCTGTCATCTCCTAAATATTTCCCCTTAGCCTTCACATCCCCCCTCCCCCGTCCCACCTGCTCCAAAGTAATTGAAATCCAGCAAGAGAGGTTGGCCCTGGTGTGGTGTGCACAGGGACAGGACTATGTCACTGGGCCACCGTGTGGGAAAAGCATCAATGCAGTGATCTGCCTCCTGCTGCATCAGCTCCTGACCGACTTAGAGTTGGAGGCGTAGTTCCCCACTCCGGCTACTGTGGATTAGAGGAAGAGCCAAGCCAGCAATGTGTCTGTCACATTTATGAGGTCTGGGCTTTGGCAGCAAGTCCCCATCTCCTGCAAGTCCCCAGGTGATGCTCAGGGTTCTGGCCCTTGTTCTAGATAGAGAGTGAGCTGCCCATTTTCAAAGTCAGAACATAGCAGGTACTTCCTACAGCTGACTTTGATGAGAGTGGCTTCACAGGGGAAGAGAAAAAGTCAGAAAATGGAAGCCTGAGACTTTGGGGGAATTCTGCATCAGCCCCAAATCCTCACACATGCATGCATGAGCCACCTCCTCCTGCCACTCTGCAGTCCACGTACACACATCTGCACTGGAGGAGGCTGCCCAGCCTGGCCAGCAGCACACAGCTGCCCAGGGTGCTGTCCAGCCCAGTCCTCCAGGCACACCTGACAGGTAGTGGTCCAGAGCATGAAGGGAAACCTCTTCCCAGCCCCAGGAAGGGACAGAGCTGGGAGCAGGCTACCCAGGAGGGACAGAGGGGGGAGCCTTGATCTCAGCCACAGAGCTAAGGGGGAAACTGGCCCTACCACTGCCCAGCAGAGGGCTTCTCACAGCTGGAGCAAAATTTTCTTGGGGGGGGCAGTTGTGCAGATAGCTGGAGCTGGCAGTGAGCTTCCAGAAGGTGACAGGAGAGGCAGGGGATGCGCAACTGTGAGCAAATGTGGGGAGAATGTGAGGGATCACTTCAGAAAGTGGGCCCCAGGTGGAAAAGAAACGACAGCCAAAGGGCTCAGGAAGGCTTGGTCTCCATACCTCCTGCCAGAGCAGGACTGTGCGCCAGGGAGGGGCAGGTAGCTATCTCTCGCCCAAGCACGAGCCCCAGTGTTCCCCTCCTCCAGGAAGCTGAGCTGGAACGCCTGGAGCGGGAATTTGCCATCCAGTCCCAGATCACAGAGGCTGCCCGCCGCCTGGCCAGTGACCCCAATGTCAGCAAAAAACTGAAGAAGCAAAGGAAAACCTCATATCTGAATGCACTGAAGAAGCTGCAGGAGATTGAAAATGCAATCAATGAGAACCGCATCAAGTCTGGGAAGAAGCCCACCCAGAGGGCCTCGCTGGTCATAGACGGTCAGTGCCACCCCATGCCCTGCCCCCTCCCCAGGTAGAGCCTTAGGGAGCTACACACAGCTCCTGCCCAGGGTCCTACATCCAACTCCTGCATGGCCTCAGTAGCCTCTGCCCATCCTGTGCCTTACCGTCCAGCTATAAGATCATGTGATGCAAATGAGGCTGAGACCAAGTCATGGCACTGGACTCTGTGCCCTCAGAACCAGGACAGGGACTGCACAGAGCCTCACTGCCCATACCTCCCAGGGCATCAGCCTCACGCTGTGGGTCACACTTCTCCACCTTCCCCAAGCCGAGTCAAGCCGACATCCTCACCTTCAACCGTCCTAGGAGGGCTAGCCAGGCTCTGCCATTGCAGGGGACCTGGCCACCCAAATGCAAGGTGGAGAGCAAGGTGGAGAGCGGGGGGACCCAGGGGCAGGGCTGCACCATCTGCTAACCTCTGTCCCCTAGACTGAGTATGTTCTCAGGGGCCTGCTGTCCCAAGAGCCATGGCTTGGTCAGACTAGACGGTCCCCATCCAGTGGTCTATCCTCGGGCTGAAGGCCAGGATCAGGGATTCGGGTGACAGTATCTGGTATGCTCTAGAAGAACACACCCCAGAATCTACCAAGAAAGATCAAGTCTCCCCTCATTTCAATAATGGTTTTTTTCTAACTTAGAAAATTCTTGAAAATATATGTCAAGCATTCTTGCGCAGTGTATATATGTTTAAAAATACTTTTGCTCAAGAAACACAGAAAGTACAATGAAGATTTCCAGGAACTGGAGCTTAGAGGAGGGGCAGAGGATCATTGTTTAATGGGTCTAGCATTTCAGTTTGGCAAAATGAAAATGTTATCCAAACAGAAGATGGTTGATGGTAAAGGCACTGAACCAAACACTTCAAGTGATAAACTTGATACATATATGTGGAAAGAGAGAGAGAGATTAGGAAATAATGTGGTCCTGGGGATTAAAAGCTGCCAAAGTCAAGGCCCTGTCTTCTAGCTGTTCCTATCAAACATGTGAATGAAGTGAGTCACACTGAAAAGGAGAGTGTGGAGCTGGCTATTTGGTCCTTTTCTCCAGGGAATCGGAGAACCCATGTCTCTGTCTTGCCCGTCATCCTTGGCCAAGACCCCACAGTGTGCCCCGCTTCCTAGCAGGGCTGTGGGCTGCCAGCCCTTCTGTCTCCCACTCCTTCAAGACCCCTCCATCCCCTGAAAGGCACAAGGGCTCCCCAGCCGCCAAAGTGTCCTTTGGGGCTAACAGTGAGAGGTTCGCTCTGTGGCCACCGCAGGGCCTGCTCTCCGGCCTATCTGTGAGGGTGTGGTCCTGTCGGGCCTGTGAAGGGACGGGCTTTTAAATCATTATCTTTGCCAACTCCTGAGCCCTTCCCGCCACACCTACAGCTGTTTTCTAATCTGCTCAAGAATCCACCTTGGCTGTTTCCTTGACACCAGGCTTTCATTACTAAGGCCCACATAACTCATGCATGAGGAGGGTTCTTCTTAGTTCCCTTGCGTGGCTTTTTATTTCAAAAAGTAAAACCCTGGCTTGGACTCCAAAGCCTGAGGACCTTGGCTAACTTTGCTGTGAGAGCAGTGCAGCTTCACACAGAGCCTCCTCCTGGGCGCGCCTCAGTTTCCCCCATGGTGGGAGGAGGAGGGTTGTCCCGCTGTGTCCCTCAGGACCAGTGCTGACTAAGCACTATGGAGATAAGCTCCAGAGAGGTCTTGTCTTCTCTTCAGGAGTTTTCTGAGAAGCCCTTTATTGCCATGTGAGCATTCTCAGTTCCTGCCCTGGCTTCCCATCTGCAGAATAAACAGCAATCGCCTTGCTGTGGTCCAGTCGTCACATGCCCTGAGTCTTCACTGTGACAATGACAGGGCTTACCCAGGCCTGCAGCCTTTGTATTAGACAGTCGGTTGCTTTGCGCTGCAGTATCCCATAAATAAAAGCAGAGAGACACAAACAGCGTGCCCATTGTGATGTGGGGTGGGCAGGCAGGGCGAGCTAAGCACGCGCTGTGGGGCAGTCAAACGCCCAGCAGCGATTTCAGACAGCTCTGAGCTCCGATAGGGAAGAAGAGGCTGCGTGGTGGTAAACGCTTTCTACAGAAAGGGTTTTGTTTCTAGAATGTGCTAACCTCAGGACTTTCTGTTTTTGTGGCTTCCAGATGGAAATATCGCCAGTGAAGACAGCTCTCTCTCCGATGCCCTTGTTCTCGAAGATGGTAGGTTTTCTGTTTCCTGTTTTAAAAGACAGGACATTGATTAAACAGAGGTCAGTCTGTATGGAGTTTGGGGCAGCCTCGTGTAAGAAAGAGTGAGGTCGAGATGGCAGCCAGAGTTACTGCTGGCCCTCTCTTTCCTGGTGTCACCACGGGGCGGGGGCGGATGGTTCTCTGTACAGAATCTATGCTCACTAGAGCTTCAGGATTTCTCAAGGCCCGGAGGTGTGAGATTTAAGGTGATACTCAGGGAACAGTGCTTCACTTTGTAGTAGCCAAAACCACCTTTGCAACTGAGCAGAGAATCGATACTCTGTGGATGGTTTGCGTTTGAGTATTCATAATATGTATCGGAAAGAGGAGAAATAGATTTGGTAGAAACCACAAATCAAGGACTGGAATCCAGTCCTGAGAGGAGTAGAAGGAAGCACACCGACGACCTATCTCTCTCTTAGAAGTGACAAGGAAAGGTGAGGTTTCCCCACAGACACAGGATCAGCCCCTGAAACTGTCTCTTATTCGCTATTTGGTTCTTCAAACCTGGTAGTCCCCAGAGTGTTTTCTTGGGTGATGCTTAGAAACCAGAGCTGAACCTGCAGCCCATCCCCACCAGTACCTGCCACCACCACCACCACCACCACCGCCTGCTGAGGCAGGGATCCCACCCCAGACTCACACCTGAGCACACGCCCACAGACATGCTCTCAACCAAAATGTTGGGAGGTATTAATTATGTGAAAATACAGTAAATAGCATTTAATTTTTTGCCCTTTAGGGAAACCTCAGGCCATCAGTGGTCAATGGCTGTTCCAATGAAAACCCCAAGGGCCTACCCACGTCAGAGTAGTTAGGGTAACTGCAGTAGTAATAATGACAATGATCACTGTGACCTGAGGACAGTCTGGTGAGTTATCTACCCAGCTGTTGTGGCCCTGTTACTAGAAATCGGACTGTAAAAATGTAAACATACTGTCTGTTTCCTTACATGCAGGGGAGAGAGGTTGTAGGCTCTTAGGACTGGGGTGGCTTGGGGTCCCTGCCCTAGGACTGCCTCGGTTTCCCAGTACCCCCAGGAACAGTGCAAGGCCCAGTCAGTGAGAGTCCTTGGGAAGGGAACAGCAGATGATGTCATTGACTAGTTTGGAGACATCACAGCAGTGACCATTTCTGTGGGGCCAAGAGCAGCACAAGCTTCCCAGAGGTCCGGTTTCAAGGTCAGGCTTGGGTTACGCTGGGTACGCAGGAGTCACGGAACACAGATCGAGGAGCCATTCCAAGCGGGCCTCAGACAGGAGGGTCTCACCGCAAACCTCTGTGTGGAGCAAGGTGTGAGGTTTTCTTGTGTCTCAAGGACAAAGCCAACGCCTCTGCTGGGACTCCTCCCCACTGGCTTTGCTCACAGAGCGCACAGTGGGGCAGCTACCTGCTCCCCAGCCACTACCACCTAGATGTCCCTGGTACCCACACACCCTCTGGCCTCGCCCGGCCCGATGCTTCCCTGCCTCCTCCTCCTCCGCTGCCTGCACTCACACTGGTACTTCCGGCCAGGCACCTTCCTTGCTAACTGGACCAGCCTGCTCCGGAAGTCCTCCAGGTCATCCTTGTGGGTCAGAGCCTTACTACCCGAAGGCAGGAGGGGGATGTTAGCCTTTCTCCTTCCAAAAAACTTGAAGGTCATTCCATAATTAAAATTTATTAGAACAGATTAAAGGAAAATATGGGTAGCTCTGTAAAAAATGTGGAGTGGATACCCAGGCCCAACCCCAGGTATGCACCGGGCACATCTGCTATATGCTGTCCTTTTCCTCCAACTGATGTTTTCTGGGCACCCACGGTCGGGTCAATCTGGCCCAGAGGCTGTGTGGGTGAACAGAGCAGACAAAATGCTCTGAGAGCTCACTCTGTCCCTGAGTAAATCAGATGCTTAATGTCTCTCGGAAGCCGAGCCACTGGGCTGGGGTAGCTCACAAGTAAAAGCTTCTACTCAGTACGTACAAGGCCCTGACTTTGACCCCAGTACCAAAAAAGGAATGCAGAGTTGCAGGAAATAATTACATTTTGCTGTTTGGTATAAAGCAAATGTTTGCTGACATATAGTTAAGATTCAGACTTCATTTATGCCTAATCAGAAGTGATACCTCAGCCAGAAGCAGTGACAAACACCCATAATCTCAGCACTCTGGGAGGCTGAGGCAGGAGGATCTAAAGTTTGAGCCAGGTCTGGGCAAATTAGTGACTTAGCAAGGCCCTGCCCACAAATTTTAAAATACAGAAATGAATGGAGCTGGAGAGGTGGCTCAGAGTGATGGTCGTAAGGTCAGTCCCCAACACTACACATACGCGCACACACACAGGTGCTCCTCTTACACAGACACGTGCACACACACAGTGGTGTTCCTCTTACACAGATACATACACAGCGCTGCTCCTCTTAGACATGCACACAGAGCAGTGCTCTTACACACAGACACGCATGCACACAGTGATGCTCCTCTTACACACAGAGGTGCTCCTGTTACACAGACACGTGTACACACACAGCAGTGCTCCTCTCACACAGACACATACGCATAGCAGTGCTCCTCTTCCACACAGACACACGCACACACACAGCAGTGCTCTTACGCACAGACATATGCATGCACAGCAGTGCTCCTCTTACACAAACACGCACACACACAGAGGTGCTCTTACACAGACACGCATGCACACAGCGGTGCTTCTCTTACACAGACATGCGCACACACATCGGTGCTCCTCTTTGCATTGGAATCCACCTGGAGCCTTGAGTCGAGGTTCTTTGTCTGGACATCCGGGGGCAGGGAGTCGCTGGCCCTCAGTGACAACAGGAGTGAAGCCCAGAAAGGACGCGCGGGGGGCTCGGCTCGGCCGTGGGGACCGGACGCCCTTGCTCAGTCCTCTCTGTCTTTCCGTCTCTGCGCAGAAGACTCTCAGGTCACCAGCACAATATCCCCCTTACAGTCTCCTCACAAGGGACTCCCCCCACGGCCACCCTCGCACCACAGGCCCCCGCCGCCTCAGTCCCTGGAGGGCCTGCGGCAGATGCACTGCCACCGCGGCGACTATGACAAGTCACCCATCAAACCCAAGATGTGGAGCGAGTCCTCTCTGGATGAGCCCTATGAGAAGGTCAAGAAACGCTCCTCCCACGGCCACGCCAGGTGAGTCCATTTGCAAGGGCTGCTCTCCCGCATGCCGCAGAGGACCCCAGAGCTGTCCTGAAAGGAACTGGCTGCCATGTCCCAAGGGGCCCAGCTCCGCCCAGGTGTCTCTGGCCAGCGCTGTGCTCACGGCGCCCTCTGCTGCCCAGCCTATTGAGGTGCAGATTTGTCACCCAAAGTTTTGGCTCCCAACCAGCGTGTTGGCAGATGGCTTTCATGTCGTTAAATTCCACAGGAGTTGATTAGGAAATCTTAGGTTGCAGGATTCCATAATGGTAAATGAGCGTCCACTCCTACTCATCCCAGAGTGGCTCAGAACTCAGAACCGTCTTGCGGCTGCTATGGAGCCACGGAGCTGCACATTATCAGCTCATTACTGTGCTAATGGAAGGCCTCAATTGCTGCTTCTCTGTTTTTCTCATCCCCCTTAATTGCACTCTAAGAGCTCCAAGAGGGTGTTCCCACAGGGGAGCAGCATCTCTTGGAAAACAAAATCTGTAAGAAGGAGACTTCGCACACCCTCACTGGGCCGCCCCTCACCCGGGTGGGCAGGACTGTGGGAGCCAGGAGGGAGCCCCAGAAGCAGGCGCCATGCTGCCATCGGGGTGACCAGCGTGGTTCCCTTGGTCCGCAGCAACCACAAGCGCTTCCCCAGCACTGGAAGCTGCGCGGAAGCGGGCGGTGGGAGCGGCTCGCTGCAGAACAGCCCCATCCGCGGCCTGCCGCCCTGGACCGCGCAGTCCAGCATGCCGTCCACGCCAGACCTGCGCGTCAGGAGTCCCCACTATGTCCATTCCGCGAGGTGAGTGCCCGGCTTGCAGCCCGAGTCAAAGAATGGCTGACCTGTGAGGCCTGGTTGCCCATGAGGCGGAGTGAAAATCTCTCTTCTGCCAGGAGTCCCGGGCCGGCCCACCTTCCACATCTGGGGACACGGGGAAGAGTCCTCGGCACCTAGGGACAGTCCAGGACTGAGCCTTCCCAGGAGGGTGCCTCACCCATGCGATGACCTTTGCATGCCTTATTCTAGACTTGTTAAAATGCCTCGAGGGGTAAATTTAGAAAAGAGCGACCATAAGGGCATCAGTGAATCACACATTCGTTTTCTAAAAAGAACCGGAGACCAGGTCACAGAGGACCACTTGGTAGGACTTCCGGGTCTGGCCTGTACCGGGAGGAGCCCACCTGGCTGCACGCTAGCCCCAGGGTCGTCTCCTTCATTGTTTTTTTGTTTTTTTTTTTTGTTGTTGTTGTTGTTGTTTTTTTTTTTTGATTTTTTTTTTTTGTCTTTTTCATTTTTATCGGTACCAGGGATCGAACTCACGACCGCCTGCTTGCAAGGCAGACGCTTACGCCACTGAGCTAAATCCCCAGCCCCTATCTCCTTCATTGTTAAGGGTCCTGGCCCCCAGCCGCCAGCCCACCATCCGTAGTCTTCACGGGTAGTGGGGCGCAGCCGAGATGGGGTTCGTGGTAATATTTTGTTAAGCCACATGAAAGGGTGCCTGTGGACTTTAACCCAGAAGAATGGCCACCTTATAGGCCTCAAGTCCCTTAATATCTGGAGAATCACTGTCTTCATCATTTTTTTCTACATGTTTTTTCCACTGCGCGTGCAGCTGGGGAGCCATAGCCGGGGCATGGCACACTTTTCAGAGGAGACCTTCCTTGAGTCCAGCTCCCCAGGTGGACCAAGGGCCAGGAATCAGCAGCTCCCTTTCGCTCCTGGAAGCGCAGGGCAGGGCACACTTCTGGTTCCCAGGGCAACGGGCTTCCGAGGTTCCATGCGTCCGCGTCCCCGTGTCCCCTTGGGCATCGCTGCCCAGACCACTCACCACAGCACGTCTCCCTGCAGGTCGGTGGACATCAGCCCCACGCGACTGCACAGCCTCGCACTGCACTTTAGGCACCGGAGCTCCAGCCTGGAGTCCCAGGGCAAGCTCCTGGGCTCGGAGAATGACACTGGGAGCCCCGACTTCTACACCCCGCGGACTCGTAGCAGCAACGGCTCGGACCCCATGGACGACTGCTCGTCGTGCACCAGCCACTCGAGCTCGGAGCACTACTACCCCGCGCAGATGAACGCCAACTACTCGACGCTGGCGGAGGACTCGCCATCCAAGGCGCGGCAGCGGCGGCGGCAGCGGCAGCGGGCGGCCGGCGCGCTGGGCTCCGCGCCCTCGGGCAGCATGCCCAACCTGGCGGCGCGCGGAGCGGGCGCGGGCGCAGGCGCGGGCTCGGGTGGCGTCTACCTGCACAGTCAGAGCCAGCCCAGCTCGCAGTACCGCATCAAGGAGTACCCGCTGTACATCGAGGGCGGTGCCACGCCCGTGGTGGTGCGCAGCCTGGAGAGCGATCAGGAGGGCCACTACAGCGTCAAGGCGCAGTTCAAGACGTCCAACTCCTACACGGCCGGCGGGCTGTTCAAGGAGAGCTGGCGCGGCCCAGCCGACGAGGCCGACGCGGGCCGACTGACGCCGTCGCGCTCGCAGATCCTGCGGACTCCATCGCTGGGCCGCGAGGGCGCGCACGACCGGGGCCGCGCGGCGGTGTCGGACGAGCTGCGCCAGTGGTACCAGCGCTCCAGCGCGTCGCAGCGCGAGCACAGCCGCCTGTCGCACGCCAGCTCCGCGTCCTCGGACAGCGGCTCGCAGCACAGCACCTCCTCCCAGAGCACCTTCGTGGCGCACAGCAGGGTCACCAGGATGCCCCAGATGTGCAAGGCCACGTCAGGTGAGCGGGATGGCCAGGGTGCCAGCTGCCGGGAGGGTCCGTGGAGCGCGGCCGGCAGTCCGGGCTCCCAGCCGCCGCAGCGATCACGGACTTCAGAGCTAGATGTGGCTCGGAGGTGCAGTGGGGGTGAGAATTGCTCAGGCGCTAGCCCCGAGGCGAGCAGAGCACGCGTGGTGCTAACTGCAAGGCCCAATCCAACCCGGGGCCTCACTGCGCATGCGCCCCTGCCATTTCGGCGCAAAAGGCCGCGGCTCTCGGTGATGCTATTCCGGCCTGGCTTCACGAGGGGGCGCCTGTTGTGGAGCTGTGCAGCCGGATGAGCCAAAAGGCCGCTCATCTATGCTCTCAGACCTTGCGTGGAGGGAAGGGAGTCAAGATTCCAGGGACTTTCCGGTCAGATGCAGGAGGCCCTAACACTGCTGGCCCTCCCATTCTAACCCTGGTCTTCACAGTATCCCCTAGGCAGAGTCAACTCTCTCTGCTTTCTTGTGGAATGCAAACCATTCCTCCAAGTAAGGACAGACAGACATCGAGAATGAGGTGTCTGGGGCTCTAGCCAGCCAGCGGTGGATCTTTGTCCTGGTAAAGAGAAACTCTAGTGCCTTCCACACCCATGTTAGCCCCGGAAGGAAAGCAGGTCGGGGGTGGGGCTAGGTCCTGAAGTCCTGAGATGCAGACAGACCTGCGGAGGGATAGCAGAGTAGGCAGCTCTTGGTGGCTCTTCCATGATGTTTCATTTCAGTGGCGTCCATAAAGTGATTTTATAGTGTTTTCAGTATCCTTGATACTATCTCTGATTTCCATAATTTCCATAATCAAAATTTGATCTAGAAATCTATGTTCTTGAGCCGGGGCCTCGCTCTGCAGTTCAGGCTGGCCTCGAACTCGCAGCAGTCCACCCCCAAGTGCTAGGATAGGTGTGTTCCACTACGTCCAGCTGTCCTATTGTTTTGTCCTCAGCACTGAGCAGTAACTGAATCAAGTTTTCAAATGGAGGAGATTGTTCCTTCCCTTGGAAGTCTCAGCAGTTTCCCTGACAGCAGTGTTAGCAGCCAGCACTGGCTTCACAGTCAGGGTATGCTGCTGTGGTCACGCTCGTTTGCACACTCGTGGGCCTGTTTGCATTCTCAGAGAGCAATGAAGCACTCTTCTGTGTCCTGTTTACTGTAGACAAAGAACAGGGAAGATTTTGAGGCAGAAATAATGAACATTTTAAGAACAAAATGGGAGAATGGAGAGGAGCTCCAGTCAGGGGCTGACTCACTTAAGTAAAAGCACAAAGCAGGGAAACGCAGTCACTGACATTTGTGAGGTGAGGGTGTCTTCTGGGACTGTCTTAGTTACTTCTTCTCATTGCCAAGAAAAAATACCCAATGCCCAGAGTTAAAAGGGGGAAAGGTTTACTTAGCTTACAGTTTGTGGAGGTTTCAGTCCATGATGGGCTGGGTCCAAGGAAGGAGGGCAGCAGGTCATGGCAGAAGACAGCAAAAGCAACAAGAGCAAAAAGGAGGAGCAAGCCTCTTATTGGCCTTATATCTGGTCTGCTGGGATTAGGGCAGTGCCAGTCCAATCAGTGAATCCCATCCCTAATCCCGGCACCCCTAATCCCAGCATTGAACCATGAACCAGTCACACCCTGCAGATTCAGCTGCCTCTGAGAAAGCCCCATCTAAAAGTGTGAGGCTCTGGGGACATCTGGACACAAAGCGTAACAGGGACGGAAGGGAGTTCCTAGGTCTTGAAGGACAAAGTGACCACCCAGACCCACCAGGCCCTAGGCTTTTGCCTTCACCTCACACTGACCCTTCTTACGAGCTCCAGGGATGGAAGTAAAGCCAGTCTGGCAATCATGAGTGTCTCACCAGCCTGAGCCTTCTTCATGTGCCTTCCCTGTCTGTAAAATTAGCCCAGTAAGCCAGGGGTTTAGTTTAGTGGCGTAAGTGCCTGCTTGGCAAACTCGAGGTCATGAGTTCAATCCCTGGTACGAAAACAAAAAAATTAGCCCAGCAAATTGGCCATCTACTTCCTAGGAAGATATGAGAGTAGGTACACTTACGTGTATCATTTAAAGGGTTTAATGGGCCGAGAAAACCAGCCCATATTGAAACGCCAGCTACTCCAGAGGCTGAGGCAGGAGGATCACGCTGGGCAATTTAGTGAAACCCTGTCTCAAAATAAAATAACAAAAAAGAGCTGGGACGAAGCTCAGCAGTAGAGTCTCATCTAGCAGGTGCAAGGCCCAGGGTTCACTCTGCAGTACTGCAGAAGGGTGGGGACGGGAGGTTGTCCCTGACCCTATCAGGTACCATAGTTTTATAAGTTTCAATGGCAAAGTACAAGAGTAGTTATATTCTAGCCAGATTTGCTTTATTTAGGTAGATCTTTTGGAGCCTACTTCAGGCTGATAATTTGGAGAAGCTGCACCGGTATGATCACGCAGCTCAGGGAGACCACCCATTTCAGCATGTGTGAGGCCTTGGGTTCTGCCCTCAGTACCAAGAACATTTTTGTTTGTTTTGTTTTATAAAGAAGCTGTATCTGAGTTGTGAGGAGCCCATTGCCAAGAAAGCACAGGGTGCACCTGAGTACAGTAGTGTTCTCTACCCGCTGCGTTTCCCCAGCCAGACCTCTGAGTTGCCCACACCAGTGAGTTCCCAGTGCTTGGGCTTGGACGATCTGCCAGCAGTGTTGCCCATCTGAGGTGCACAGAAGCAGCAGGCAGTGAGCCTGAACTAGCAGCATGCAGGTTCCCAGGCCTTCTCGGAAGCTTTTCCATAAGAGAAACAAAATCTTGACCTTGAAAATGCCCTGAGCTGTGCCTCCTACAAGGCTGTATGGTGGCTTCAGATTCTCTGCAGCAATCTCTGTCTCTGCAGCCACTTCCTGTGCAAAGCAGGGGCAGAGGCTCCCAGGCAGCCCGAGTGCTTGTAGAGGTGCATGGTGCTGGGGAGAAGAGGTGGGGTGTGGAACAGAAAGGCACAGAGTTGTCTCCCCGCTGTGCTCATGCCCCGGGACCACCGAGACCCTGCCCCACGGTCCCAGCCTACACCGTGGATATTGGGACCCCAGCCCTGGGCGGTACAGGTGCTTTGCCTCGTCTGACCTTTCTTCTCCCTGCCTGTCCCCCAACACTGCCTGCAGCTGCCTTACCTCAAAGCCAGAGAAGCTCAACGCCGTCGAGTGACATTGGAGCCACCCCCCCAAGCAGTCCCCACCACACCCTAGCCTGGCAGACTGGGTGAGTCACCCTCCGGGTCTTCTGCCCAGCTCTTCTGCAGCTTCTAGACTGGAGGAGTCACCAGATTTCCATCCGGTGGCAGCAGGAAGGACAGACGTATCTGCCAACCACTGAGAAAGGTCACCAGTTGCCCCCTCAGGAGAAACCTCGGCGAGCTGGCCTCACCTCCCGTCTCACTTCTGTGCCTCACTGTCCTTTTTGGAACGAACTCTATGTGCTCTGCTTTAAAGCAGGTGGTGACCCCTGAGCCATGGGAAGGTGTAAGGGATTTGTTCCTTGGTCAGAGTTCCAGACAGTAGTCACCTGAGTTAAGATGAGGGCCAGGTGGCTTCGGAATGCCAGGCAGGACTGTCAGAGGGGGCGAGAGCCAACCAGTCCCCTCCCATTGCTCACCCTGAGCCCATGCTGCTGGCTTGTTGCTGTCTTGATGATCACAGTGCAGTTTAAGGATAGAGCTTCTGTCCAGGCCACGTGCTTGTTTTTATTGAACATGCAAAGGGGACCAGGGACTGTGAGGGAAACCGGAAGTCAGCTCCTTCTGTGGCTTTAGGTGTAGCCTAGACTCTTATGACCTGTGTCCAGGTGGGGTGCCACAGTCCACTGACGGGTCCAGCTGCTTTGTGCTACTATACGTGCCTCACTGTCACCTCCACCACTGTGCTCTAGCAGACTGTTGGTTAGAGGAGGAAGGGGTCCCCGTGTCCTGGGTTACCCACAGCTTCTGATTGCTGGGGCATCCAAGGGGACGTCTGGGAGGAGTTGACAGCTGTCTGTGAGCTGAGCCATGAGAACACCATAGCCCCGCAGTCGGCCCCACACCTGTCTCAGGGCTCCTACACTCACTCTGTTCTGAGTTTCTCTTGTCCTTATTTACAGCAGCGTGTTTAGTCCTCACCTGCTATGGGGTGCGGGAAGCTGACATGCATGAGTGCTTGCTGTGTATGGAGGTGGACACTGCTGCTTACAACCCGGAGTCCATCCAATCCTCGCTGCCCCACCGCCACCCTTGGCAAAAGGAGTATCTGTATCTATTGATTTTGTAGCTAAGGATCAGCTAGCTTACGGGCATGCCCCGAGTCACACTTTGTGGAGTCTGTGACCCCAAACTTTGTCTTTTTCCATTGTGCCAATGATTCTTAAAACGTGGACCCCACACCAGCAGCATAAGGCCCACCTGGAATCCTCTCGGAAATGCAAATTCCCAGCTCCCTTCCTGATCAGAAACCCTGACGACCCCTTAAGTGTGGCAGCCACAGAACTATCCTGTGCCACCTCTCCTCCCTTCCAAATGAAGAGACTCTACTGCCCAACAGGAGCGTCCTTGTGTCCTCTGTGGCTTCCATCTTTTAGCAGTACCTACGCTTTGTCTCTCCAGCAGTGTTAACCACACTCACACTCCCCACTCGCCCAGCTGTATCCTATGACCAGGCAGCCGTGGAGGCTGAGGGCCCAGTGGTCTCCCCGAGATTCATAAAAGAATGATACATCAAGGACTTAGAGTGGCCGACCCATCTCAGCCCATCTCCAAGCCTCTCTCCGGATCCTCAGGGTTTCTGCATCCTTCCCAGTCCCCCCAATACAGATATTTGCTTGAGTTATTTGACTGACAATACGCTTTGGAATTTATAACCTCCCTTACACACCTACTCACCTAAACTGGCCTTGAGATTTGCCTGTTTCACCACTTTTAGCTAGTCAGGACTCTAAACAAATTTGAAGCAGAAAAGTATTGGATCCTGGAAGTAACTTTTGGCAGCTTGAGCTGAATCATCAATAACAAACATAGTATCTCTGTGATCAGAAAGGAGACCATGGGAAAGAGTGCCAGCACTGCCTTCCTAATGGAACCGAAGAGGTCGTTAGACACTGGGATGGGATAGAAAGTTCTGCCCGCCTCCCAGTTTTGCACTGACACCCAGTGTGTAGTCAGGGATCTTTCCAGTGTTAATAAGCTACTAATTATGTCTGTGTGGATTTCTCTCTCTAACATGACCTCTCTTCTCTTCCTCTTTTTGCTCTCCTTTGTTCAGAGAAGCGACAGAAAACTCACCCATCGTGGATGGGTCTGAGTCTTCAACTCACCAAAGTACTGATGCATAGAGGTATCGTAAGGGAGTGTTCTGTTCTCACTGCGCATGTGTCTGTGATCCCACCTGTGCTGCAAATGTGTTGCCTTTACCCATGTCGTAATTTCCGGAGGGAAGCGTCTCATGGGTGGGAAACCCACTATGTTTATGCATTAGTTCTAGATCTATGTGGAATTGTGTTTTCTTCTGTATTCTTACATCAAATGTTGGGTAATCCCAGTGCTGCTTCCTGCAGAAGACCCCCCCCAATCCATGCCAAAGTATGTGTCAGCCCTTCCAGCCTCTACGTGCATACAGATATTTGTAGAAGTTTTTGCTGGCTTAGTAACCCGTGTCTACAAAGACAGCATCACTGTAATCTTAAGTTTCAAAGGTCCAAGGTCAGAATGCGTTGATCCAGAAGCACCCAGATGTCACCTGTAACGGAATCTGACACTGAGTGACAGCCGTGTGCTGTGCCAGGCACTACAGAGCCCACTCTCAGAATGTCCATAGATCGGCACCAGCATGGCCTGGGCGTACATCACAGCGACTCTCGGGCACCATCCTGGCTGCAGAACCAGTGTCCACTGAAGTCGCACATCACTGACACCTGTTCTCTTAGCCCCGGGAACCCTAAAAGCTGGGTTACAGATTGTGTGGCATTGAAATTAGTGTTTCAAAGGACACCCAAAAAGACTAGGACACCATGCACAAGTGGATAAAAAGTTTAATAGATTAAAAGAAAACAAAGCACCTACATTCCATATTGTATTGCAGGAACCTAGCCAGAGACTGCAGCTGCAGTTGAAGTGCAGGTCAGCAGTCTGAAAGTCAATCAGCGGACAGGCGAGGGGCATAGGGAACAGCCAAGTGTATGTGTTAAGGGCTCTGCAGGTTCAAGTCAGATTGCTGCAGAGATTCAGAGACAGGAGGGCCCACTTTGGAGGCCACGCTCTGTGACCCCAGCTTCCAGGGATTAAGGCAGGGGCGCCCGGGCGCAAGGCGCAGAAATGAAGTGGCCACTTTGGGGACAGTAGTCTTGTTTCAGTGCAGAGAAAGAGCAGACATCCACATGAGAGCCAGGTTAAGGCAGGCCCCGGACCAGTGGGGAAAGATGTCAACAATGTACAAGTGTCGGGCGGGATGAGGAAGGTAGGACGGGCCTTTGAGAGGAAGATGGGCACCGCATCCCTGCGTGGGGAGAAGAGACCAAGAGCAGGGTCACTAGCGTGAGATCAACATGGCTTCAAATAAGACAGCTGCCACTCTCCCCTCGGATCTGGGGACAGAGTCCTCTGTCAGGGGCTGGAGATGGACACATTAAAGAGAATCAAGTTGCCCCGAAGGACGGCCATTGAGTCCAGGCAGCTTGAAGTGATTTTTTTCAAATGAGTTCTAAGCAGCAGCACAAGCCCAGGACAGGTAGGGCAGGATGGACCCAGAGAGCCCCAACTCCCTGGTTTTGTGACCCCTACAGCACTGTTCAGTGTCCCATTTGTAAGTTAAGTCTTCTTCTCAATTATTAGGGAATGATGGTGAGAAAGCACCGTGAAGCACTCAGTAAGACAAGAGGGTGAGGGTGAGCCGCTGACCCCACTTGCTGTGGTGGTACGTGTGCCTGGCCATCCGCTTAGAGACCTGGCTTAGCCAGCACCTAGGGGCAGGTCTGACCACAGGGTCGAGGGTCTGACCGGAGGGTCCAGACTACGTTTGTATCGGGAACAGATTTCTCTTTCTGAGAAACTACTTCAGTGTGCTGGGATTCATTGCATATCAAAATAGATGGGCTTATCAAGCTTAAGCAAATAAGAGCCTGCGATGCAGATGTGACTGGGAAGGCGAAACAGGGCTAGGGCTCAGCAGCTCCTCCCCACCCCCCCCAGCTCTGCTCCCCACTCCCAGGAGCTTCGTGCACAGGAGGAAACCGCAACCTTGTAGTGTCAGAGCCACAGGTCATTGCCTTGCTGTTCTCAAGCAGGGCTCTCACGGCAGACCTGGGGCCCATGCCCACATCTGCAGCCGAGAGGGAGGTGCAGTGGCAGTAGGGGTGGACCCCTGACGATTAACACATGGTGCCTGCAGGGCCAGAGGCTGTCTTTTCTCTCAGAGGTTTCTCAGGCCCTTTGGCACGTTGTAAAAGTCCGGTCCCTTCATCAGGATGGAGAGAAGTTTGCAGGCAGATGTAATGGAATTGTCCACTGCTCCCCTCAATATAAAAACACCCAGGCTCACGTCACAACTGAGGGCCTTCCGTTCTTTCACTTCTGAAGCCACATTTAAGCGAGTTAATCCCGTGTATTTCAGTGATCCAAGCTCTCATTAAAATCTACCAAAACTCATAGACACTGAGGTTTTCTAGTTTTCAGTGGTTTGTTTTGTTTTGTTTTGTTTTAGGCCAGATGAGAAACATTTACAAAGTCCCTTCATCCATTCATTCCATTCCTAGACAAGTCAGCCAATGGGACAGAACAGATGAGAATGACCAATTGTTGTCAGTGTAAACTGGCTCATGAACTTGTTTAAGATACTCTTTAAATGCTTTAACTCTGATTTTAGTTATGTTTTTTTATTAGCACAGGCTCACAGTACATGGTGGCTCCATTCCGCGTATGGAGCTGGTTCTCTAAGCTTGATGGGTTAGGGTCTGTTCCAGTTGGCGCCCCCAGCAGTGTCCCTAGCACTGACCATGGAAACGCCAGCGGCGGGACAGACTTGGAGGAGCTGGTTTGGGACAGACAGAGAGAAGCTTTCCCCCCACAGGATTCTACCCAGTCTCCCCGATGCCTACTTGAAATACTTTTTTTTGGAAGCTTTTATTTTCTGTAGAAACTTCCATATATATATATATATAAAATTTGAAGGGGGGCGTGCTCGGGATGGAACCCAGGACCTGTGCATGCCAAACAGGCTCTCTACTGCTGAGCTACACACCCAGCCCCCACTGTATATTTTAAGGAAATACTTTATTCTCATGAAAAATACATGTAATTTCAAATAATGAGAATTGGCACTCAATTCAGATCATACCCCCGCTTGGGCTACAGGGAAGCTCACACTTAGACAATGTTTCCGGGATGGAATGAAAATCTACTCATCTTGGGTCTGGTGGAGATAGCCCAGTCACTATCCTTGGGAGAGGCCATCCTGGAGAGCACTGCCCAGAGCCAGCTGGCCATAGCTGTACCTGAGAGTCACTGGGGATCTAGAATACCCCCCCCCCAGGCCAATCCCATGTGTATAGGTAGAGTCCTGGTGCCTTGAGGTTCCTTGGTGATTCCAGGAGTAGTCAAGCTTGGGCACCACCAAGTTAAGCGCTGGCTTGCATTTCCTCCATCCCAGACACCGTGTACAGGGTTCCCCTTTGTGTGGACTCATTCTGTGCGTGCTCTACTGACCAGGTGCTGTGGAGCTTGCCAGCTGCCTCCCCTAGCAGGGCCTTCTGGTCACCAGGGGCCTGTGTCAGGACGGCGCTCTGCATGCAGACTCTCACTGTCACATCTCCCTTCTTGGCCCCCACAGGAGCTACAATGATAGCTGCTTCCTGGATTCCTCCCTCTATCCAGAACTAGCGGACGTCCAGTGGTACGGGCAGGAAAAAGCCAAGCCCGGGACCCTCGTGTGAGCCAGCCGGGCCAGTCTGACCGCGACGCCATTCTGAGTCACCTCACTGCCTCTCATTTGCCTTACCCAGACGCACTGTCACCTGCACCAGCTTCGGCCCTCAGCACTTTCTTTCTCCTCGTTTCCACATCCCCTTCACCCTCAAAACCTGACTGAGGAGACATTCTGGAAGGTTCCGGTTCCACTGTGTGTGTCCCTTGGCTCTCTCATCCACAGAGGGCCAGACAGCAATCCTCAATGGCATGTTGGTGGCTTCCCCTAACCCAGGAGCTGTCCGGGAAGCCAGCTGGCATGACATTCCTGCAGACTAGTAGCACAGGCAGAGAACGGGAAGGAAGGCCAACCTGTCCCACCGGCCAACCAAGGGCTTCGAGAAGAGAATGCCTCTTGGGGACATTCAGTGTCCCCACCCCAGAATATCCCTAAGCAAGCCAGCTTGGGGGCGTGGGAAGGTGAGAAAGGGAGCTTCACACTTCAGAGCTGCATCATGGGCATCACAATCAGTTCTATGCTGCCAAAGGTTAAACAAACAAAAGAAGATGCCAAGAGGACTTTCTTCCTGCAAGAAATGTCTTTGACGTTCAAAACTACTCTACACAAACGCAAGTAGGAAGTCCACCTCTGTAAGTCCGTCTTCTCATGATGAAGCTCCCTGGCAGTCCACTCCCCAGCTTCGAGAGCTTTGGAAAGTAGCCCTTGAGGACAGCGCAGGAGGAAGCAGGCTGGCCTTGCACACTCAGTACACCTGCCTGCCTGGACACAAAGGAAGAGAGACCCTGGGGCGGGGCCCCGTGCAGCGGGCTCAGCCCACAGCTGAGACCCTTTGGGGAACCATAGTAAACACAAGGGGATAATTGCCAAAAGTGGTCTCTCATTAAAACAACCAGTAAAAGCGTAACCTATGTTTTTGCACAAGGCATTTCATTTTCTTCTGTTTTCTGGGAAACCAAGGGAAAAAGCACATTGCAGTCCATACAAGTGTTTAACTGTTGTGGCTCATTTTATGTTTGTTAGCACTTGTGTGACCAAGAGCTCAGATGCAGCTTCTCCTGTGTGCCATTTACTCAAGGAACCCAACTGTGCCCTTAGGTAGGAAGATCTCACGCGTTACTAGCCTGCAGGCAGAGCAGGGTTGGAAAGAAAAATCAGCCTGGAAAGCCCCGTATCCCTACAGCAGTGTCAGCCAGCGGGTCCAGCACCTGGTCTGTGGGTACGAGAAGAGGACAAAAGGAAGCAAATGTGGGGAGCTGCGTGTTTACCTGTGTTTTGAGCTACGCTTAATACACAACCAGAAAGCCATCAACCTTCAAAGGCCTCAAAAGTACTTTTCTAATAACTAACAAAGGCACAGTCTGAGTCAGGTCACTCTAGATGGCACAGAGAGGTCTCCACAGAAGTGGCATGTGGTGCTTTTCATCTGTGTTGGGGGGAGGGTCCTCCATTGCTACGACTTCCTGTTGAAAGGCATTTGACAGCCAGGGACAGGAGCCTGGGTGGGAAAAGCAGAACTGAAGTTAGCTGTGGTGTCAAAAGGAAAACCGGTATTTCTTATGCGTGGGTAGTCCAAGAATTACAATAGACTCCACCGAACCAGGAAGGTTAGAATGGTCACCACAGCCAACTCACTGACCCTGCTGCTCCCTCCTGTGTGGCTCGAAAAGCACTGGAAGTTGAGCGGAAGCCCTCACAGCAGGCACGGGCCCTCACAAGGTGAAGGGTGGGAACCAGGCACCACCCCGCCGCCCCACTTCTCTGCAGCTTCTCTGCAGCAGTCAGGGCTGCAGGTACAACAGCGGGGCTGGGTATTCCAGTGCACAGAAAAACTGCAGGGTAAACGGATGATGGCTGTGCTGTTGCTAAATGAATCTGGGCCTGACTTACCGGAGGGGATGTTGCTTTTATGTTAACAGAGCTGTAAAGAGCAGATTTGTTTTGCGGGTGTCCTTGGAGGGGGTGGGTTCTCCTTCCCTATTTGGAAACACATAATACATTGGATCATTTTCCTTTCCCCGAAGGCAGATACGTGAATAATCAGGAAAAATGCAACAGCAAAAGTCAAAAGCGAAATGGAGAGGTGAGCAGCTTCCAAGCTATACCACATGTACAGGGACTGGAAATGGTGTGCAGTAAATCAGATCAAGCTTTTAGCCCAGTTCACACACCAGGATGAGAGACAGGAATTCCCCCAAAAACTCTGGATCACATTTTAGCTTTGAGGGGCAGACAGGAATGGAGTGGGAGCAGGAATTGCAGTTCCAGCAAACATCGTGGATAGTCTGGTAGTCAGGACGGAGATTGAGTAAAACAGGTTTTACTGTTTAGCGGTGTTCGGTTAATAGAAGATGTACATAAGGGTTAGTCCCTGGAGACTAACAGGGTCCCTGAGGATCGGTGTGATGGGAAGCCTATAGCTATGTATACAAGCACTTGGAAACTCTTTATATAGCCCTATTCTTTAAAATGAACTGAGATGGAATACGAAGCCCCTGGTCTGACCTGAAGCCCCTACTGAATTCTTCGGATCCCTATGAGAAGTTGCCTGTTTCACTGCGAAGTTTGGTGAAGATGCGTACAGCAGACTGTGTCGTGAGCCAGACTGTTGCGTTTTTCATTTTGTTATATGCAGGTGAGTGTTGGAACTGTTAAAATCCCAAACCGTTCTCATTCAGTATTAGTTTAGTTCTAAATATAGCAGACCCTACCCAGGTGCTATCAGATGACCAATTACTGCTTAGTTAACTAGGTGTAAAGTTTTACATATCCATTAATGTCAATAGTTTATTACAGTTGTGTAAAATGGACTCTAATAATGGGGAAAGATTAGGTTGCTCCCGAAACTGACTGTAGAGCATGTAAAACGATTTTACTGGGTTCTGTTCCACTGTCATCAATGAAAAAAGATGTATGTTGTAGACAAATTTGCAGAATTAAAAAGAAATCTGCTTTTAATTTATTCTTTTTGTATTAAGAATTTGTATAGTACCTTTACATTTTGCAAAACAGTGTTGTCAACACTTATTAAAGCATTTTCAAAATGAAAAGATTCCTGTTGCCTCTTGGAGATTTTGTGTTTCTAAATGATAAATGCTTAATTAATCATCATTAATTCATCATCATCTAGGAATTTACAACTTAGTTACCTGTGTTGTCCTCATTGGGATTTTTTTTTTTCGTACTGGGACTTGAACCCAGGGGCACTGTACCACAAAACTACATCCTACACCTCCCCACCCCCCAACTTCTTTTTATTTTGAGACAAGGTTCTGCTTGCACAGGCTGCCCTTGAATTTGAGGTCCTCCTGCTTCAGCCTCCCCAGTAGCTGGTATTTCAGGCAGGCACCACCAGACCCAGCTAGCTCATTTATGTTCAACATAAACCTACGCATAGTATTCATGTGTCTTACTGAGACAAAGTCAGTTGGGTTAGGGAACCTCCTAGCCTGGTTTCCTGTAAATTATACAAAATGGAGTCCAAACCATGTGTTATTTTTATCATGTAAAGGACTGGAGATTAGAGGTCAGTCCTTGTCAGGACATTGTTTCATTATTTGTGTCACTATTATACACAGCCACCTATAATGTGCTGTCATGCATACTGTCCTCACTGGATTGTCCATGGCAGAAGGAACTCAGGGCTTTGGTGAATTATCCGTCTGTCTCCATGGCGTCCCCAGCCGGATAGAGGATGATCCGGAGACACACTGGATGCCCAGGCCCTTTCTGACCATCCTGGTCATCCTCACTGCAGCTCTAACCCCATGGCCTAGCCTCTAAGTTAGCTCCAAAGCAGTGGGCTACTGGGCCTGCAGGTACAAAAAAACCCCTTCTTACAGCAAGCTTCTGCTGACTTCCGCAGAGACTGCCCCTGTACCTGGTCCCTCACGGGGAAACAGCAGGAAACGAGGTCTCGCCTCCAGGAACACCTTGGAAGGAAAGCCCTTGCTGAATGGCTGGCCCCTGCCAGGAAGGAGAGGACTCTCCTGAGTACCTGGATTCCACCAGGAAGTGCATGTGCTGAGAGCTTTTTTCCTTCCTAAGCCCTGATAATGGCTCAGAGAGGCCGGGAGCTTGCTTTCCTTCAGAGCATCTCAAAATAACCTGCACCTAAAAAAAGGAACGAACAATGTGCATGTCTTTCATGGTAACCATGCCGCAACTCGGGAAATAGATCTGTGACCTGCTTCTTTACCTGCTGCGGAGAGCAGTAGTATCCAGGAACAGCTCTGCTCTCTTTCCCACTTCCTGCTTCTCACACACATGGACACACAGCATGCCTCTCCCCCTTTCTCCCTTTCCAGTTACCACACTGATCAGTGAACACGGAGTAGACACGTCCCAGCGCTGGGGGAAAGTGTTAGAAATAGCCCGCCCTTAACTTGCCCCCAGTGCAAAAAGAGCTCTGTGTAAAACTGCAATGCCACCAGCATGAAGGAGCCATTGAGTGCCACCAGGTGCTCATACCGGCCCAAAGAGGTGACGGCTAGTCCAACTCCTTGTGAAAGTAAAGGTCACCAGCATAGCTGAACGATGTCTCCAAGGGTTGTAAACAGCGCGCGTGAGGACGGCCACCTCACTGAACACTCCTTACAGCATCAGCCAGGCAGGGGCTCGAGATAGGCACTGCAGTCCCACCCCGCACTGCAAAACAGCAGGAGAACGCATGTGTGGGGTTAACAGATGGCTCCGATCACTGTGCTGTAGAGTGTCTCTCCAGCAGAAACCTTCGTTCCCATTGTGTTTCCTTCTCCTTCGTTCATCTATTTTCATTCCAACCCACTCCAGCCACACCTTCATCCACCCCTCTGCCAAAGACATTCTGGCCAAAGTCGACTCTGCGGTGTCAAACCCAGAAGCTACTTCTGTGGTCATTTCTTGCGATTTACCAAGAATGTTGAACGCAGTCGACATCTCCAGCTTTGCTAAACCTTTTTTGCTGGCTATCTTCCTGCTGCAGTTTAGGACTTCACTTTTCAGTCTCCTTGAGAGTTGGCCTCTTCTCCCTGGACTTGGAGTGTCCCAACCCTCCATTCTTGGACACTCATAGTTTTCTACGTCATCCATATGACAGTGACACCTGGCTTCCTCCTCTATCCTAGACCTCCTTGTTCAACCCTGCACATCCTGCATCCCGCATGGACCTCTAACACACTGAATACCCTGAGGAGAGCCCCGCCCCCTCCCCCAACCAGCTCCATTCATGGCCGCCTTCATCTCAGGTCCAGGCAAGTGGGCTGCCAGCACTCAGGCCATAGATCTTGGAACCAGCCATGACTACTTACTTTACCTCACATCTGCAGCAAACAAAATGTATGAATTCCCTGCATTATATTACACAGGGGGTAAGAAGAGGGAAAAAATAAAATTGCATCACTCATGAGAAAGTAGTATTTAAAAAACTAGCAGAAACAATGGAAGATTCAGCCGATGGCTGGAGAAAGAACACCTTTTCCTCTATGGCAGGGAGGAAAAGATGCTGACAAGTGTGGAGCTAGAAACAGCCCTTAGTATGTATGTCTTAGTTCCTTTTCTCTCATGCTGAGACAAGACACCCAACACCGAGAGTTAAGGGAGGAAAGATTTATTTAGTTCACAGTTTGCAACAGTCTCTGACCATGATTGGTTGGGTCCAAGGCAGGGCAGCTTGGCAGAGAGGAATCTCAGAGCAGCAACAGTTCACGGCGGTGGAAAACAGCAAAAGCAATAATGGAAGCAGAGAGAAGGGAACGAGCCTCTTTCTGTCCCTTATATTGTACCCAGTTTACCGGGGTTAGGACGGTGCCATTCAATCAGTGGACTGATCCCGCAATCACCCACCCCTCACCCCTGCACCCTTAATCTGAGAATTGCACCATGAATCAATCATACTTTTGAGACTCAGCCACCTCCAAGGAAATTCTATGACACTGTGAGGCTTTAGGGGACATCTAGACACAAACCATAACAGTATCACCTCCATATTCCACCAGACATGAGAAAGTCAGCGAGGCCATCTCCACGTGGGTTGGGAGAGAGAAGCTGGCTGAGTGAGGATGGAGAAGTCACAAAGCAGTGAAAGGACCACAGCAGTGAGGGTCCCTTTGACAGGGCACGTGGAGGCTGTGAGTCTGCTCTGGTGTCACTCACTAGCCAGGATATGGGAAGAGAGGCACAAGCGATCCCTGTGCAGACTGCTGTGGAGCAGCAGGACGAGGTGCACTGGAGTGGAAGGTGCTGGTAAGTGTGACTGATGTGGTGGCCGTGGGATCCAGACACGAACAGGTGGATGACAGGTCTCAAGACTGAAGGAAAACCAAAATGGGAATTGAGGAACAAGGAGTTAGGGCAGGACTTCAGGACCAGAGAGCAAGTAAAACTAGTTTCCCACAACGTTCACCAGCCTGTGGGGGAGGGCAGAGATGCAAAGTCTAGGGGAAGCCCACATGTTTTGTAGATGGGTGTAGATGAGGCTAATCCTGACGCTTGGGCTTGATATTCCTTAAATATCCTCAATATTCCTCTGGCTGTTTTCTCAGGAACTGAAAATCTAATTCCCTTTTACATCAGGAGACCAAGACCAAACCAATTATTTTAACAGGTGTGATTTAATACAAATTGCTAACCAGATAGTAAAGAAATGAGCAGGCAAAATGAGGGTCATCAGGTAACAGACAGCAAAAGCAGGAAACAGTTACTATGCTTAGAGCTAGGAAACAAAGACCAGCGCTTAGGAGCTCGGAGGAGGTGCCCTGAGGGGTGAGGTCAAACCCCTTAGAGGACGGAGGGCCACTGTGCATTGGGAGCTCGAGACTCAGAGCTGACACTCAGACCTCGCAAGAGGGGTGTGCAGGGTGTCAGTTCCAGGAGTGAACAGGAGGGAGGTGTCACCGCTCAGCTGGAGAACTGCTGGGCCACTGTTGTCAGGGACAAAGAGAACTGGAAACAGGCAGCCCCTTCTTCCCGCCTCCGGCTTCCAGTTTTTAAAGGCGTCTGCTGTTGGTGCAGCCTAACTCGAGGCTGCCAGGAGAGCAGAAATGTGGTTTGCAGTCTCATGACAAAGAATCCCAAGGTGCTCGTGGAGCCGAGACAGCAGTTCACTCCCCGCTTGCACACCTACCAACCAGAAATCCAGCCCTTCTCTCGCCGAGTCGCAGCCTGTGAGTGAACCCCAAGTTCCTCAAGGAGAACCGAGACTCTAATCTGACAGACCTCCCAAAGCTCCTGCTCTCATATATAGGACAAACTTATTTTCAAATTTTAAAACTTATGTAAAGGACCAAAAAATACGTATGTTGGGGACCTATGCTAGTGCAGTGTGAACCTTAGAAGAAACTGTGGTAATAACCAAAAACAAGGCATATCAAGTTACCGTCCCAAATGGTGAATTACAGCCATGTTCCCACAGCATCCTTCACATCCTAACAGGCATTTGGAGGAGTTTGTTCCCCGGAGGCTGCTTCTCACTCACACGGAGATTTGGAAAGAGAAGAAAGAAACACTGGATGCTTTTCCCAATAGACTGGGGGCCTCAGACTCCTGACATCAGGCCAGAACTCCAGGGCACCTGCTTCTTGTTTGGTTGTCCTTGAACTTCCTTTAACATCAGTTTGATTTGCAGCTCTTCTATAACAAATCACACTACACTCATACCTGTGGCCAGTTAGGCGAATGCTGTTAGATTAACTCGTATCCTAGGAGAATGCAGTAAAGTCAGACCGTAACAGACCATAGGTGACCCTGCAGCAATGTGGCACACTTGCCAAGCCACACTGAGTTCTGAAAGCCGAGAAATCTGAGTAATGGGTGTCAGGGGTTGAATTAAAGCAAAAACAATCAAAGCTCTACCTTGAGAGTTTGCCCAGTACCATTCTGGTATCACCTGAGCCTCAGGAGAAGGCAGCTATGGATGGTCAACTTTATGGATCACTTTGACCGGATACGGTCTCAGATCCTGGGCTGGACAGTACTATGGGTGTCCGTGAAGGGTCAGCATGGGAACTGGCAGGTGGAATGAAGCAGGTGGCTCCATGCAATGCGGATGGGCGCCACCCAGGTGGTTGGAGGCCTGAATAGAACAAAAGGTGGGGTCATCGCCTGGCTAAGACAAATTCTAAGTGAAGCAATAATCTGGTAAAACTGAAATGTAAGGTAAAGCACAGAAATGCACATTTCCTCTTCTCTCAAAACTGTATTCATAGGCAGACTGTCGATGACTGAATAGGAGAAATGATCACATCAATTAAGATTGATGTGATTTTTTATGAAATGTCAGATGATTACATTAATACCCAAGCTGGTCATTAGATGATTTCCCTGTTGCACACGAGTAACCTAGTGTATACCACAGAGTCTAAGAAGCATTGCAATACCCACATTTAACAGAATATATAAAGAATTATATAAATCAGTAAGAAAAAGGTAGGCAACTCTATAGGAAAAAATGTGGATGGGATGGAGAACCAGTCTCCAATAGAAGCTTCAAAATATATCCAGGTGGCCTTCACACAGACTGTATTGGCTATCAGGGAAATGCAAATCAAACCTGCAGTGTAACACCAGCAGAACACACCAGAGGGGTAAAATAAAGGGGACAGAAGGACATACCAAGTGTGACTAGAGGCCCAATAATCTGAATTTCCCAACCCTCCTGATGAGAGTATAAACTGGTGCACGCCCCTTGGAAAGGTGAGACTAGGTCTTCTGTAACCGAACATACTTATCCTGTGTCTCAGAAGATTCACAGCTCAGCGCACACCCTACAGAAATTCACATTCACCAAGAAACGCACATGAAATATTCATGCAAAAAAACTAAAATACAAACACACTGCTAACAGCAGAACAGATACATTGGGGGCTGTCACAATGAGAATTAACCCCAGAGGTACAGATCAGAATATCAGGAACCCCAGCAGAACCGAAGAGTCAAACACAAAGGAACTTAAGCGTATCTTTTAATGGTGTTTACAAACAGCCAAACTGCAGGGGCCCCCACAAATTGCAAAACTAACCTGAGGAGTGATTAACATAGGAACGGGTTTTGTGATGAAAATGTTCTAAACTTGGGACTTTTGACCATGGTGTGCAGGTCTGCAGGTACACTAACCTGGGGCACACAAATTACTTATCAATAAAGCCTTTTCTACAACTCTGATGTTAGAAATCAGGGCCACGGCTGCAGGAAGCCAGACTGATCTTCCCGTAGGCCGTGTAAACCAGGCGGGGCACAGAGGAGAGAAGCCAGACTGCCTTTTCCAGGAGCTTTTATACCTGGTACAAAAGCAACTGCATGCTTGTATTGTTTGATTACTTTTGCAAGACAAAGGGCGGTAGTCTAAGTATCTATTAGGAAGATGACAGTATGGAATACAGCAAATGTGAGGGATTTCCTGTGTCTTGTTTCTGAAACCCAGTATTACTGTTTTATTTTGTTCTGATTGTTTTGTTCTACTCAATCCTCTGTTTTGATCGGTTTCATTCTGTTTTGTTTGATTTTACTATGTCTGAGAAAAAGGACAGCTACCGTGAAGATGACAAGATCTATTACGGTAGCCACTGCTGCTGACCTGCTGTCCTGCTCTGAAGTTACAGACCACTTTCATGCTGGGTTGTGATTGGCTTTACTGGGTTTTGTATTCTCAGGTTTTCTTCTCCTTAAAATAAAAAAATAAAAAAACAAACAAACAAGAAACAACATGGACAAGTTCCTGGCAACTCAGTGACATTACTTTACTAATTTGGATGCTGATTACCTGAAGCACTGTTCAGCTAGCGAAATATTTACTACGACATCATGCTCTGATTTCCTGTGGATGTTATACTTCAAAGTTTCACCCGAATTATTGCTTCAGAAGAAGTTAACATTTAAAGGACAGAAGGTTTTATAACCTGCTACATTTCACACTAAATCTGAGAGCTAAGTGTTACTTGTACATTAGAAAAATAAGAGGTAGCGAGCGTCCTTTGGCCATAAATTCCTCTGACAGGTCATTTCCTTCTTTAACTGTTGTAATTCCTTTTAACCACTGGCTTTCACACCACGGCTCACAATGGTTATAAACTGAGGTCACAATCGGCGTATTTTTTTACAGAAACACAGGAGAACATGTCAGAATCACTGCACTCAGCAGGGAAGTGCTTTCAAAGTTACACCATATACACTGGTGTCTGTAATACTTCGTTTCAACCCGCTATCATTTGCCATGAGTTGTGGTTAAAAAAAAAAAAAACATTTTAAAAGTGACAACCTGAACTCAATTCACAGGGCAGGCGAGGGGGTCACACCACTCCTAGGTCTTGGGGAAGAGTGCTCGAGGGCAAAGGCAATTCAGGTGTGAAGGTGCTGGAGGCAGGCTGTGGAGACAGCTTAGGGGTGCAGGCTTCAGATGTGGTGCTTCCTAGAAAGTGAACAAAAGAAGTGACCTTGCCGAACAGTAACCACTCATCAGTTACGAGACCAGTTTAAGCACGGTGCAGAAAGGACCGCAGGAGAAAAAGAAATGAACATCTAGTGCCTTTGTAATAAGCCATTTTCTTCTAATGAGCACAAAATCCTGCCTCGGCTGAGCTCACACCACAGCCATTGCTGCTGAGCACACTCAGTCCCATTACCCTATACTCCCAGAACTTATTTTTAAATTTCTAAAGACTTACAGTTACTGTTAATTACCTAAGTACTAGCGTGGCAGGTCTAATATAGCCAAAGGACTCCAGTCTGTGATGCAAACCAGTTGCCGTAACAATGTTCCCATGGTGGCCCTCTGGGCACCAGCACTGGCCCTGGCTCTCTGCCCAGCTGGAAATCTTACATCAGTGTGCCTTGACAAAGTGCTCCTGGGCTCAAGGCTCCCACCGTGACACCACACCATACATTTCTATGGGATAAACTTACTCTTCCGGGGCTTCATGGGGTACACAGGGCAGGGAGGAGCTACAACCCACTAAATTATGCCTGGCAACATACTCAAAAAGAAAGTATTCCAGGCTCAACCCAAGGGTCCTTCACATTCAAAGTGCCCCGAGTTGGTCCTAAGGAAACAAGCATTAATGGGGTATTCCGTGGCTGGGAAGGAGCCAGAGACACAATCTCCAAACTCAAGTCTACGGAAGAGTCCAAAGTGCTTTTCTTCAACTGTTCATTTCACTATCAATTATTACTTTCCGGCAAGAACCAAAAAAAAAGTTGCTTTCTAAATTATTTACTGAGATCAAACCCTAGAGCTCCAGTATGCTAGGAAAGCATCAGAAGGATGAGCTTAACATTAAGTCATACTACTATCAACCCTATTTCCTAGGTGTTTGCATTCTGAGCATTCAGAGACCACACCACGTCACTAAGTTGCGTTACTGGTGGTAGCTGCCTGCCGTGGTCCCTCTGGGCCTCTACCTCCTTCCAACAAGACTCAGAATCCTACTTCTCCCTATGTGTTAATGCTCTGGCCTCAGCTTTATTTTCCAGAAATTTCCCCAAAGACTGAAATCACAGGTGTGACTTTCAGATTTCTGTGGACTATTACGAAGCTTGTTTTCACAGCTGACTGAGTCACTCCTAGGGAACACAATACAGATCGTTCCCTGGTTACGATCATTTGACTCACAGCTTCTCAACTTACAGTGGAATGAAAGCAGCACAGGACCCATATGTGGGGCTTGGAACTTCTCCCGGGCCGGCTACACGCAGCAGGGTCCCCTCTCCATGGCCAGCAGTGGCCGAGTCGTCCAGGCAACCGCGTGAGCTTCAGGTGCACACCAGCCACTGTGTGGCGGGCACTCCCTCCCAGACCTCACCCGAGTTGCTCAACGCTGGACCGCAACATCACCAGCCGGGCTTGTGTTCAAAGATTCTGCCCAACCACAGAACGATGCGGTGCTCTGAGGTAAGATGATGTCTGAGGTAAGATATTAAACGCACTTCCAATTTATGACGTGTCCAACCACGAAGAGTTTATCAGGACATAGCCTGCTCCGAGTTGAGGGACATCTGTGTTTCTTATGAGGGAAAGCCAGTGTGCTACTAACTTAAATCTTGAATACCTTTAGCGGACAGATATGAGAAGGCAGGAAGGAAGACAAGGAAGAATGTATCCAGGATCGTGACCAAGTTTAGAAGATGTATCTTTATTTTTTACAAACATTCAAAACATAAATACACAGAATCTGGAGAATGGGAGGTCGTTTTCTACACAGCCTCAGGACACACGCAGTCACGTCAACTTCCGGCCAACAGAAAACCTTTCTGAGGGTCCCCGCCCCCAGGTCAAAGTGCCTAGAGTCACAGCACTGCGGAACGTGGCTCCTCCGGGTGTGTCACACCATCACCCTGGTCAATTCCAGAAGGCACCAGTGTCACATGGCATTTTCCAGACACATGGCATTACGTGACTGGCACGCTGTGGCCTCTGAAAACAGGAAAAATACTGAGGGCAGCATTTATCCAACGATATTTACGAGCAAGCCCTACACAAGACCGCACATCCAAAGTCTGGACTGTCACGTCTTGGGAAAGTCTTTCTCATCTATGTATTAAATTCCCCCCAAATTCTATATAATTTAATCCCAAGAAAAGGCTTCCTAAATGGAGGGTGGGGGCCCTAATTCAATTCTGGACATCAGGCTCTGCCACCTCCTCATAAGTAACCAGCAGAATCAATCATTCTCCAGGCATGGATCACAAGTGGCCCGAGTGCCTTTCTCAGTGGTGGCCTTTAGCCCCCACCATCTGGCTGGAGTAAAAGCAGCCCTGGAGCCCTCTACAGGAAAAGCTTAACCAGTGATTTCAGCTGCAAATGCCATGGGTATTAACCCTTTGCATACATGAGTATACACCGCCTCTGACCACAGGCCACAGAAGGCCTAGCAATTCCAACGACGGCCACACTCCGACTACTATTTACTAAGCCCCACCGCCTACCAGGCAGCGGTGCCCCTGTATTTTATTTAAACACAAGAAGGACGACATGGGGCGTGTGCTGCTGTAACTGCCGCTGTACGATGGGGAAGCTGGCGTCTTCACAAATCAGGTCATCGGCCCGAGTCAGCTGCCGCCACGGGGCTCCTCACACCCGCTGTCTCATGCTGCCGCCCGCTGGTCAGGCAGCGCCCTCTTTCCCCGCTCTGATGCAGGCTCTCAGCTCCCGAAGCACAGTGACTGGAGGACGACACTGTGCAAGGCCAGAGCCGGGACTCACTACCGAGGCCGAGACACAGTCCGGGTCCCAGCCTTCCCGCCGCAGGGCGGCTGGGACACTGTCTTCTGCCGCCCACTCATCACACCTGCGCACTCTCGGCTGGCCTGTGCCCACCCCCCACCCGGAACCCCGATGCGCCAGTGTTAACCTTGTCTGGGGCTTAGGGGGCACGACATGCTACCTGTGCTTCTCACACTTCCATTCCCTGAGATGACAAACACTAGGACAGACACTCTTCTGAAGGAAAGGAAACTCTGAAGCCGAGAAAAACAATAGGTCAGCGAGCAGGACCACAGCAACATTTTCACTACGCTGTGTGATGCCAACGGTCAAGTCTCATCCAGCAGCCCCACTTGTGTTGGAATATACAAAAATACTTTCTCAAATAGTACATAAAAGACTGTGTGCAAATCATAGAAAAGTTAAGTCCACCCTCCAATGCTTCAGTCACTTTTGGGCCAGTCATTTCAAGTCCCCATTGGTTACCACTGTCAGCATACTTAATCTGAGAGGAAGTCTTCAGAACTTAATTTTTCACAGTTAAAATGAAAGCAAGATACAAAAATCAGTTTGTCATCAGACACAAAGGCCGCCACAGTTCCGCAGGTAGAACTCAGAGAGCAGAGGCTCCAGCTTCCTCCTTCTCCTCTCCTGCTGGTGATGAGAGAGGCGTGTGCACACGGCGCGAGGTCCTCACTGGCATCGGTGCGCTGCACACGGGCCTCACAGGGCATTGTACTCCACACACTTGGAGGGGTCCGTGGGAAAGTGCTTCTGGCAGATGGTCATCAACCTCTTCAGTCCCTAAGCACATGGAGAGAACACGGTTGGTCATGACATGGCTGGGCTGTTCCTGGCTACCCTCCTCTGAACTCACCCCAGCTCCCCAGTGTCCTAGGGACACAAAGCAGCCCCAGCCACGCCGCGCGGAAGTACACCAGTCCTGTCTGCTCACGGGCATGAGAAGGACAGACGGGAATGGTGGCTGCAGCAAGTGCTCACTGCCACAAACGAACAGCAAAGACACTGGGAAGGGCCCCATACGCAGTCATGGAGAGCACAGGAATACACTTTAACAGGCTTACAGACGGAGGACGGACGTAGCGTGTAGCAACAGAAATTAACTCCTTGAGCTACGCAGAAAAATGCAGCTGCCTCTGCCACGTTCCAAGACAGAACGCATCAGGAACTGCCCAGCCCAAGGCACCCTTCCCACTGGCCAAGGGGAACTTCGCTAAGCACCTACTTAAATAACATCTCTAGAGAACAAAATGTCCACCAAATTGCTTCCTTGGCTGTGATAGGACTGAGGGCCTCTGGCTGAGAAAAACCAACACACCCGAGTTTTACAACCTGCCGAATGTAAGATCAAGCAGAAAACAGCTACGTACAGTGCAGTATCATCCTAACAGACTTCAGAATCAAGTCCAAAATACACTGCCAGAAATGCACATGACAGGATTATTTCTGACGAGCAAAAATGACAAACATGAATTCAGGACACTGGTTACTTCTAGGGCAGAGGAAGAAAACAGATTCAGTCATTTTCAGAATGTCCCGGTTCTCAAAATGGGAGTGAGACTTTTCGGTATTTATTTTGTTACTTACTTTGTAATTTAAATTTTACATGCTTTCCTGTATAAGGACCAAACACTATACAACAAAAACGCCTCAGTACAATAAGAAGGCCGAAGCACAACGTTCCAAACGTGCCCAGGCCACTCCTAGAGTTCAGCGGCAGCAGCTGCGGCGTGGCCTTCCTTCTGTGCCTCTGACGTGAGTGACCACGACCCTGTGCTCCTTCAGAGCAGCTACGAACTCCTCAGCTGATCCCTCTTGGTCTCACCACACTCAAGCGCTCTCTTTCCGTCTCTTCCAGTCTGGCCGGTTCTTCTCTTGTGTGTGACTGTGTAATGGTTTTCTAAACTGATAACAGGATTAATCACTGTTAACTGTGACTCAGGTGCGGGATGTGGCTCAGTGGTAGAGCACTTGCCTTGCATGTGGAGACCCTGGGTTCAAATCCCAGCACTGCAATTAGTTGGTAAGTCCAATCTCTCTCAACTCGTTCTTTACCCTTCAAAAGCTTTAGCTGGTATTTAGTTACTGTTCCTAGTTCTCTCGATGCCTTCCAAGTCATTATCTAAACTCTTAGAAACAGTGAACAAACAGGCCGGGACAAGAGCAGACAGCTGCAACATCCCTCTATTTTAACATTTCTCACCTTGGGTCCACAAAAAGTAAAACCACACCATTCTCGTTACAAGAAGAAAAACAATGAAATCCTACCATCATAAGCCAAAAGTTGACTATGTATAGGTCTAATGGCCTATACATAACTTAATGACTCCCAAAATAATTTTTAACACAAAGTATTTTAATGTTCCTCACCTTTGGTTCACAAAAATTAAAACTAGAAAGTTCTCATTACAATAAGCAAAACAATGAAATTGCACTCTCAAAGCCAAAGTTTGACTATGTACAGGCCTACAATAATATTGAATATTGAGTACAAAAGTACAGTGTACAGCACGTTGGCTGGTACTTTATTAGTATTCTCTCCAAAATGCACTTTCTTCCCTACCACAATACAGCTGAGTTATCCTCACTTCTCTCATCAAGAAATAGCATCATGGCAGGGATTTAGCTCAGTGGCATAAGCACCTGCCTGGCAAACACAAGGTTGTAAGTTTGACCCCAGTAACAAAAAAAAAAAAAAAAGAAAAGAAAAGAAAAGAAAGAAATAGCATCATGGACCCAACTGTTCCCCTTCTGGGTATCTTCCCAAAGAATTAAAAACTTCATACCACAGTGATATATGTGCACCCATGTTTACAGATGCACAATTTGTGATAGCCAGACCTTGGAAACAACCTAAATGCCCATCAACTGAGGAATGGAGAAAAATGTGGTATTTTTACACAATGGAGTACTACTCAGCCATAAAGGAGGGTAAAGTGGAGACTTTTATAGGTAAATGGATGGACCTTTAGACCATACTCCTAAGAGAAATAAATCAGACACACATCTGTAAACTTCGCATTGTCTCACTAGTGTGAGAAGCTGAAACAACATATGTATACATATATGTATATAAGAAGAGTCAAGATAGTTGTACTAGTGATTTGTCTGAGTTCACTGAAGAGAAAGATTTGTGCTGGTATTGTTTGGACAACTGAATGCAGTCGTGCTCTGGGTGAATGATTTGAGGAAAACAATGCACAACATGTGTACCAATATTGCCCGTTTTGAAATTTTGTTTTTTTCTCTTTGAAATAAAATGTATTTGAAAAAAATAGCACCATGATGTAGTAAGAAGAACAGCATAGGTGGCCATAGTTATACAACCTAGTGACAGAAGAAAATAACTGGAAATCTAGGAAGAACTCATTAAAAATGTCTTAAAAATGTCTGCTGATCTAACAGGTTCCTAAAACATCATCAAAAACTTGGAACTCTCACTATGTAACTACCTACTTACTATTCAGGCAACTCTTAGCTCAGTGAAATCACCTGAACAACAAAGTCCTTGACAAATCTGTTTGGTTTCCTAACAAATAGACAATGCAAATAAATTCTATAAACTGAAGAATGATCTCACAGAGTCACTGTTAGTAAAACATGAATTTTTATTCTACCTGAGTCCTCTGTTTACCCAGAATGCCCACATCAAGTTACGCAATGCGAAGAACACACGTGTAACTTACTTTGCTCCTTCATTCTGCTTTGTTACTCGCAGTGTTAACAAGGAATTAGTACAAAGACCCTCCTTCTTCTCAAAGCCAGCTTCCCCTGCAATCATCTCTAATTGTGCACACAGACTTGCGATCTGTAGCATCAGAAGTACATGCAGTACCACTACTTTGGTTTCCTTATGTTTCCTAAATAAATAGGTGAAAGAAAGGCAAACCTAGGAAAGAACACATCTTGATGAATACAAGAGCCTCGGTCTGCAGCAGAATGCAAGAACTGCTAGGAGCACAGAGACGACTGACAAACGGGAAGATCATTAGACATAGGTTTTCATCACAAGAGCTAGAATTTAGATGCTTGCTTCTTACAGAAGACATTTGTGTTGCTTCTTTACACTCAGGAAGCAGATTCTATGATATAAACACATATAGTGGTACCTTGGTTCCCAAACTTAATTCTTTTCATAATTCTGGAGGCAAAATTCATTTTATGATTCTGGTTGCAACCAAAGTGCAAGCAAATATGCTAGAATCATGGAAAGAATTTGTGAATGAAGGTACCATTGTATAGTACTAATATTTTGCCTGGGAAGTCAGCTAGCAAAGGTCTGAACTTAATGTTCCAGTCATAAATAGTTACCTAGAACACTGCAAAACTTTACTATGAATACTGATAGCGCAGATTTTTAAAGGTGCACAATCTCAGGACATTGGTAACACATGGTTACTTTCCAACTAGAAACAAATCTTTTCAATTAGTCTCCTTAGAATTTCAACTATTTGTGGCTGCTTAACCAAGTCAAACTGTCTAGCTTAGGGAGAATAGCTTAAAAACTGGTGTCATCTTAATTGACTTTTTACTTTCACTTATTTAATATTGATTTATTTTATTTATTTTGGGTTTTGGAGACAGGATCTTGTTTTGTAGTCCAGACCGGCTCTGCTTGACTTTTCTGGTGCATATAATATCCACCAACTTTCAACCACGAAGCCAGAGGACTTAACTCACCCACACCAGGCCCACTTGGCTCCACATGTGAACACATACATCCTCTCCAAAGCACAACTTGGAATGAAACCAATATTCCTAAGTGACCTCATAAAGGCGTCAACTCCATCATTTACTGCCAGCTGTGGGACTTGTAGGCCTTGTGTCTCTGTGCCCCACTTCTCCTGCTTAAGGTGCAGGAAAGTGACAATATCCACCGCACACTGTGGCTGTCCAGCGCACAGAGTAGGCACTATGCGAGTGCCAGCCGTGATGACCCCGGAGAACACAAATTGTGAGGGTCCCGTGTCTAAGACTTTACTGTCAGAAACAGCATTAGCCTGTGCTTGCCCCTGACTGAAGGTTCAGCTACAAACAGACTCCTATGTCAGAAATCATTCTGCTTGTCGACAACGGCAATTCTCTGCTTTCTAGTGGCATTAAAGAGAAGTATGGTGGCAGCTTAATCCTATATCCCTTGTAACTGTCCTATTTCTTTTCTTTAATTTGGGGAAAGATGACACTGTATGACCAGCTGCCTTTCCGAGCAGAGAGAAGTAGTCTTTTTCTGTATGTGTGGCTGAGAAATGTAAGATTTAATATATTGAACTGTCCATTTCCTAGCAAGTAAGCTGACTTTATAAGCAAAAGCATGGCATGGTTTAGATCAGCACTGCTCAAGATGTGATTCTACAATACACTAAAGTTCTGTGATGCTAAGTAAAAGGCAGTACCTATAAAAGAGAAATGCTAGCAGTATTTTGTCTTAAACTGTATTGTGTGAATACTCCACAATTATCAAATGGGTAGGTAGTTCTACCGTGAAGAAACCTGCTGTCAGGACACGGTTCATCAAAGCCAGCCTTAGCACGAAGCCAACTAACCTACGCATATGTAACACAAAACACTGGCACACAGGAAGCGCTCCAGCCAGCATGGAGAACCGCCTGGGATCACGTATGCAGTAGAAATGCTGCCATCAGAGTAACACTGGAAACACACGAAGACATCAGAAATCTAAACATGTCCTCCCGACACTAAGTATGCACGTGCTAGAGGAGAGGAAATGTGCTAACCCCGAGCTATGGACCGATATACAGCTGCCAAGCAGTGGTGCATTCTAC